CGGGGCGCGCGGGGACGGGGTCAGTGAGGCCGGGCACCGGCTGCTCGGGGCGCCCTAACGGGGCGCCTGGCCCGCGGCGTGACCCGGGCGCTGTGATGGGCAGCGGGCCGGGCCCACACGGAGGGCGTCGTGGGCGCGCGGCCGGGGGTGCAGGACCCGTGCTGCCCGCGGTGACCCCGTCCCCCCTCGGCAGGCGGACGCCGCGGGCATGGACTATTCGTACGACGAGGACCTGGACGAGCTGTGCCCCGTGTGTGGGGACAAGGTGTCCGGCTACCACTACGGGCTGCTCACATGCGAGAGCTGCAAGGTGAGCGGGCGGCCGGCGGGGGTCCGGGCGGGCGGGCCGCGAAGGAAAGCCCTGCTGGGGGCACCGAGAGGGGCCGGGCCCCCCCGCACTGATGCCCCGCTCCCCCAGGGCTTCTTCAAGCGCACGGTGCAGAACAACAAGCACTACACGTGCACGGAGAGCCAGAGCTGCAAGATCGACAAGACGCAGCGCAAGCGCTGTCCCTTCTGCCGCTTCCAGAAGTGCCTGACGGTGGGGATGCGCCTGGAAGGTGTGCGCGCAGCCCGGGCCTTAGACCGTGACCTCTGATGGCGAGAGGGGGTGGGGGTGGGGGAAGGGGGAGGGGAGGGCACCAATGGCCTTCTTCAAATTTCGGGGGCCGGCGGTTGGCTCCTCGCGGGACATTAGGGCTCTGATCTCTGCGGGGTAGGGGTGAGGACTGGTGTCCGTCCGGGTGACCGGATGCATGCCGGCAGAGCCTGGATTGGGTTAGAAGTATCTCAAGTGAGCCCCAGGGAGATGACCCTGTCCCCAGCCCTTGGCGAGGCAGGGACAGGGGGCAGCATACCCAGAGCCCCTTAGAGCTCCTCCCTCTGGCCCGCTGACACCCAGCACCAGCCAGAGCCAAGGCGTTCAATACCTTTACCAGAGTGCAAGTCCCAGTGCCACGACTTACAGGTTGGGTGACATTGGGCAAGTTCCTTAACCTCTCTGAGCTGCAGATTCCCCATCTGAAAAATGGACCTGATAGTAGTGCCTTCCTCCTTGGGTTAGTGTGAGAGAACTGTGTGAAAAGCTCCTAGCACTGTGCCTGGTACAGAGTAAACCCTCCACAGTTTCACTATTATCATATCATTATTTATGTTATCATCTGTCCATCATCGCTGTGCAGCCCTCACTCCTCCAGCCCACCCATCTGTGCGTCTGTCCACCCTTCTGAAAGATTCACTCAGTTCGCTCACTCAGCGGGTGAGATTCCTTCCCTCCGTGTTTCTTAGCCAGGCCCTGAGAGGGCTGGGGAGCAGAGAACAATTGCCCCCAGAGGACCCAGGCCCATCCTTGCCTCCCCACTCCCAGCTCTCAGTCCAGAGGGGAGGAGAAACGGGTTCAGCAGGAAAGACTCAGGCTCTCTGAGGGTGGACAGGCGTAGGTTTCCACCCCGCTGGCCCCAGCCGGGCTGTGCGCCCAGCAGGCAGCTGTTGGCTAAAGTTTTTAAGCATGTAGAAGGCCCCTAGTGGCTCTGAGAGCTGCAGACCACAAGCTCTGCCACCTAGAAGAAGGACTCCTGGATGGGAGGGGGAGATCTTGTCCTGTCCCCAGAGCCCAGGCCCCCAGCTCCAGCTCCTGAGGGGCCAGGGCAGCTGGGGGCCAGGGCAGCTGGTTGCTGTGAGCAGCAGAAACCCCTGGTGGGGCATGAGGCAGTGGAGGGCAGGACTGACTGGGCAGGCCCCCAAGACCCATCGCTGGCTGAGCACTGCCCTCTCCGTCCTGTTCTCTCCCTTCTCCTGGAGCCCAGGGTGGGATCCTGTGAGCAGGGGCTGGGGCCACACTACAGCTGCAGAGACGCACCTGTTGGCTCCGGCTGGTGACACATTCTTGGCCAGGCGGAGGGACATCTGGTCACCAAGGGAGGTCCCTTCCCCCAGCACAGAGCCCTGACCAGCCCTAAACTCAGTTTCAAATCTGAAGGCAGTAGGGGAAGCCTGAGTCATTTTGCAACAGGGGTTTGATGGAGTCAGGCAGGCAGTCAAGGAGCAGCTGGACACAGAGGACCCAGCTGTGAACAAGGCTGACCAGGGCCCGCTTCCTGTCACCATCTCCCTGCCAGGCCCTGTGCTGGGCACCTGAACCCATTGCTGAGCCCGCAGGAGCTCTCAGCCTGGGTCACGTGATGTGATTTCACTGAGCAGGATGAGAGTGGGCAAGAGGTGGACATCTGGGGCAAGGACAGTGGATTCTGTCTGGGTGAATCCAGGAATACTTCATGGAGGTGGTGACCTCAGGGCTGGATGTTTGACAGGCATGAGAGAAGGAAAGGGTTTGAGGCAGAAGGAATATCAAAGACAGGATGGAGACAGAAGGAGAAGTGCCAAGCAGAGGAGCACAGAGATGAGTGGTGGAGTGGAAAGAACACAGGGTCTCATGGGGGATAACCTGGAAAGGTGAACAGGGCCTTGAATGCCAGACTAAGGAGACTGACTTCATCCATGGGCACTGGGAGCCATGAAAGATGTTGAGCCGGGGAGTGACACAGTCAGATCTGTTTAGGAAAGATCTGTGAGTGGGGCGCTCTTGTGGGTAGCTTGGAGGGGTGGGCCTGACCCCCTGCCTCTGCCCACAGCCGTGCGCGCCGACCGCATGCGGGGTGGCCGGAACAAGTTTGGGCCCATGTACAAGCGGGACCGGGCCCTGAAGCAGCAGAAGAAGGCACAGATTCGAGCCAATGGCTTCAAGCTGGAGACAGGCCCCCCAATGGGGGTGCCCCCTCCCCCCCCTCCCCCCCCGGACTACATGCTGCCCCCCGGCCTGCATGTGCCTGAGCCCAAGAGCCTGGCCTCTGGGCCACCTGCTGGGCCACTGGGCGACTTTGGGGCCCCAGCCCTGCCCATGGCCGTGCCCAGCGCCAACGGGCCACTGGCTGGCTACCTCTATCCTGCCTTCCCTGGCCGTGCCATCAAGTCTGAGTACCCGGAGCCCTACGCCAGCCCTCCGCAGCCCGGGCCCCCGTACGGCTACCCAGAGCCCTTCTCCGGAGGGCCCGGAGTGCCTGAGCTCATCCTGCAGCTGTTGCAGCTGGAGCCCGACGAAGACCAGGTACGGGCGCGCATCATCGGCTGCCTGCAGGAACCAGCCAAAGGCCGCCCCGACCAGCCTGCGTCCTTCAACCTCCTGTGCAGGATGGCTGACCAGACCTTCATCTCCATCGTGGACTGGGCACGCAGGTGCATGGTCTTCAAGGAGCTGGAGGTGAGTCCCTCCTCCCACCTGGCTGGCCGCTGGATCTGGGGTGTCCGCTCAGCTGCCCCAGCCTCAGTCTCAGTGGCTCCTTGGATGCAGCCATCCTGCCCGCTGGCTTCCGGCAGCGTCTGGGGACAGGGAGGCCACACTGGGGACACTGAGGGATGTTTCTGGTCCATCACAGCCTTCCTTCCTGGTCTCCTGCCTCCTCACTCAACCCCTCCCTCTCTCTCCTCTATTTTTTGAGTCTCTATCTCTCACAGCATCTGTTTCTTTTATCTCTGTCTCTGTCTCTTTCTGTTGTCTCTCTCCCTGGTCTGCTGTCTCTGCTTCTTTGTGTTTCTCCAGCTTCTTCCATCTGTGTCTGATTCTCTCCCAGTCTGGGTCTCGGTAGGCATTTATCTCTCTTTCTCTGAGACCCTCGGCTCCCCCAGAGGACTATCTGAGTCTTGGGGAGAGTCTCTGGCTGCCCCAGCCCAGTGTCAGGAAGTGGGTCCAACTCATCCTGTCCTCATATCTGGAGAGGCCACCACTCCCCGTCAGCCTCACACGTCACAGATGGGGTCCTCGTATCTCGGAGTTTGGGATGTTTGTGGGCCTTCTCCTTCCCAGCTAAAGTGAAGCCTCTTACTGTCTCTGCATCTCTCCTGCGTGACAGGCGGTCACGTGTCAGGGTGTGTGTCTGTGTGTGCAGGGGAGCTAGGTGGGAGGGCAGCTGGCCTGTCACTGATCTTCCAGGAAGGACAGCCTTCCTCTACTGCAAGGCCTTCCATCCCCCTGGGTTGAGGTACCTGCAGCTAAAGTAAGCAGGAAAGCAGCAGGAGAAACTGAGGCCAGACAAGAAAGAACTTCCCAGTCATCTCGCCTAGTGGTTTGGAGGGCCCAAGGCCTGGGAGCTGCCCCTCTGGTGCCCTGGCTCCCTATGATCAGGTTGTTCTGCCAACCTCAGAGGCCCCCCAAGCCTGGCCAAGGCCCATCCTCCCTGGGCCGGGCGCGGACACTCTTTAGTTCGGACCTATCGGTGTTTGCCACCCCCAGGCTGGCCCCCCTGGCTGTTCTGGGGCTGGGTGTAAACAGCAGGGCCTCTTGCCCTCTTTGCTGGGGCCACTGCAGCCTTGAGCACATTGTCAGTGCTGACGCCACTCGGGCCTGGGCTTCCTCCAGGGGCATGTAGCCGGATGGGCCGGGGGCACTGTGTGCCCAGGATGGGCATGGTGAGCCCTTGAAGCGTCATGGGGCTGCAGGCCTGGGCTACTCTGGGAGTCAAGAATTGGCGGTGATGGCTCCTGCTTCTTCTGTGGAGAGCCTGTCATGACTGAGGCTGGGGATGAGCCATGTATCTGTCATGGGGTGGGACTTCTCCCCCTGCCCCCTCTCTGGGCCGACCTCATGGATGAAACAAGAGGCAGGGCCTTGAACAGCCCCATCTGCCTTCCCCTCGTGGCTGGAGGCCCTGGTGGGGGATGTGGATCCCGGGACCCTTGGGTTGGTTGCCAGCTTCCCCTCCAGATTTCTCATGAGCTCCCAGTGCAGAGGGGAGGAGGAGCAGAGCATTCCTGGCTTTCCAGAACCCTGGATCCAGGGGCAGGGCACTTCCTCCGGCCTCCTTCCTGGTCTCTCAGGGGTTTTCACGCAGGATGGGAAGGGCTTTTGTCCCAGGTTCGCTGAGTGTTTTTTCCTGCTTCTGGCTTCTCTGTGGTCCAAACCTTCCTGCTTCCCCTTCCCAGAGTCTCTGAATCGAGCCCAGGAATATGAACCATGGTCACTACCCTCTGTAAAGGAGCCTTGCAGATAAGTACCAGCCTAGCCCTTAGAGAGTCTCTCATCAGCCACGTAGAACTTCTTTCCCACTGGTCCAGTGAGCCCTGGGCCAGTGTCTGTTTGCAAAGCCAGAGGTGGGAGGCAGAAAAGTGGGAGGCATGCTGAGTGACTCTGTTTTCCCTTTTGGCTGACCATTTATCCCCTCACCTTCAGGCAGGACACATCTTAGCAGATGGCAGAGGGGGCTCCCTAGCTGTGAGAGTGGGGTAGCCCTGGGGCTGGGCACTGGGGACATTGAAATGAATTGGACCCCAGAGGCTGCCAGGCAAGAGGAGGAGACAGACATGCACATGGATAATGCCAGCACAGGGCGCCCAGGGCTCTGAGGGGCCGAGGGAGCCCAGTAGGAAAGCAAATGGCTGTATCTATGGAAGTCAGGGAAGGTTTCTTAGATCTACACCTTTTCAGAAAGCAGTCCAAGGTTAAGGGCACTCCAGGAGGTGGTAACAGCATAGGCAAATGTCCAGAAGTGTGAAAAGGCATCATGTGTCCGTAAGTTCCAATGGTCCTAGAAGCGAGGGCTGGAGAGGTTGGCAGGGTCAGAGGCAGAGCTTGGACCAGGAGTGGGTCCTCTGGCAGTGGGTGATGGACAGCCTGCCAGGGCTGGCTGGGGCCCCCCATCTCGGGTTAGGGAGGGCTCCCATCACAGAGCCTGAGGTCTCCCCAGAGATCACTCAGCCCTCTATGAGGCTGACAACGTCTTGCTGCCCAGGGGAAGGCCTGGGGTCTTTGCTGAGCTGTCGGGGATGCTGGGAACCCAGATATTGGCACTCTGGATGCCCTCTTGGGGATCTCCTCTTCCATCCTCTTTTCCAGCTTGGATGTCCCTCTGTCTCTATTTTTCCATCTCACACAGTCATGGTGTGTTCGATCTGACAGTGGCACAGAAGTTAATAACAAAGACCAGAATCAGAGAGGCCTGTGTTCAAGTTCCAGCTCTGCCACTTTGGGCAAATGACTTTACTCCTCTGGGCCTCAGTTTTCTCATCTATAACATGGGGGAGTTGAGATAATATCCACCTCATAGGGTTGCTGGAAGGGTTTAGTGAGCCAGGCCAGTACAGAATGTAGCCCAGGGTGCAGAATACAGGACGTGTTGAGTAAGGGAGAGCAGCAGCTCCCCTCCTCACTGTCTTCCTCTGCTGCTGTGCAATTTAACCTATGCTTGCAGGTGGTATACACACCTGGTGGGCAGAGTAAGAAAGGATACATTGTATCCACACTCCTCTGAGCAGGCTGGAGTTCTGGGAGAAGATGGGGCCCACCTTGCCCTGGGCTTATAAAGTAATTTCGTACCTGCAAGGTAGCAGAAACTCACCAGTTCTTGCTGCTCAGTGGGGGGCAGTGCAGTTTGTAGGCCCAGACGGTGAGGCTCTCTGGACAGTTCCGTGAAGGACAGGCAGGGAGGATGCAAGATAGGAATCAGGGAGTTAGAGGCGAGGGCCAAGAGAACCTAATGACCCATCTTGACATGAGTTCACCCTTGACGTCCGGCTCTGAGGCCCCCGATTGGCAACAGATTTAACCGCTCAGATATATGGTTCCATTTAAGGGGCAGTAACTCTGTCAGTCCTGGGCTGACAAATGACGGCCCGCTGACCACTCGGCCGAGAGAGCGCTGTGGCCAGCCCGTGGCATGTCAGCCACTGGAGAATTACAGAGCCTGCTGGCCTTCGGCCGCCAGACTGATCAGACCCCAGGGGGCTCCAGAGGGGGCCCTGCTGGGAGGCAGATCAGCTCGGCCCCCATAAATACCCTGTCTCTGAGGCAGGCTGCAAAGTGTCAAGGCTTCAGGGAGATTTGTGGCTAACGGGCAGGAGGGGTGGGCAGCTGGTGGGCCAAGCAGACAGGCCAGGCCGACAAGGGACCCCAGGGCCGGGACTGCAAATGTCCTTGTTCCCAGGGCAGCCTGAGGGTAGAGGAGGAACCTTTTGCTTAAGGAGAAACCTACGGAAGGTAAAAACCAACCCTCTTTGGTTAAGTGAGCCTCTTAGCCACCTGCTTTCCTGTGGAGAGGGGCTGGCGGCTACGGCCCTCTGGTTTTCTTTTAAATAAAAAGGGAAGTGTGTGTGTGTGTGTGTGTGTGTGTGTGTGTACACGTGTGTTCCTCTGTGTGAAGAGTGTTTTGGAGTTTGGTGTCTTTATGTGTCCATCTGTCCATCTAGGGGAAGAACAAGGAAGGGTCTGGCAGGCAAGATTTGCTTGGCTGGGGGTGGGTCCGGGGCAGCATCCCCAGGAGGGCCAGCCACGAGGCCACAGAACCCTTCACGACTGACCCCGCTGTGCTCACACGTTTTCTCTAACCAAAGGAGGGAGGATTTGTTTTTCCTATTTCTCAGAGCAGGAAATGAGGGCCAAGGAGGATGCATGGCCGAGTTGGGGAGCAGAGGGCGCATGGCACCAAGCTTAGCCACCGTATTGCTTCTCTGCCCTGCCGCCCCTATCAGCCCCGTGGGCAGGGGCCCTCACTCCCGGCTCTGAGGTCTGGGTCCCGAGTCTGCTCCCAGGGCTTGGCCAGCCGGGTCACTGTGACCCCTTCTGCTTTCTGCCCGAAGTCCAGCCTCTTATCTCCTAATTCTCCCCTTATCTCTCACCCTTCCACCTCCCTACCCCCTGTTCCTTCAATCGGACACAAGGGTGTCTGCTCCCGAGGGCCCCAATGGGTGAGGGGCAGAGCTCAGCCCTGCCCGTCCTCCGGCCCCTCTGCCTCCATCTGGGTCGCCCAGGGTGGGCCAGGGTGGCTCTGGGAGCAGGCATCTCCTACTCGGGCACTGGGAGTTCCGAGGCCCCCCAGAAGCCGGGCCAGGCAGGGGCGTCGGGGCAGGCCCAGCCCCCTGCGGTACCTGGGGCGCGCCTCTGTCCCTTTATCTGTGACGGGCGTTTCCTCACCCATAGGGCAGGGGTGAGGCGGCCCGGGCGTGCCGGGAACGGGGCCGGGGCTCGCCCTGCCTCCCTCCTTGGAGACGCGCGGGGAGGCCTCGTGCCAGCGGCTCTCTGGGCACCGGGCACTTCCTGCGGAGAGATAAGGGAGATGTCTTTGTGACTCGCCCCCGCCCGGTTCTCAGCCTCTCCTGGTCCCTCCACTCCAGGGCCAGCTGTGGCCGAGCCTGGGGTCTCCTGGTTGGGCTTCCTGTTCTGACAGTCATGGGCCTCTAGCAAGAACTTTCTGCCAGGAGAGGGAGGGGGAGGTGTGGGTTCTTGACGAGGGGATGAGGTGAGGAAGGGAGGCGGGAGGCTGGTGAGTCAGGGCAGGACAGAGATAGACCCTCACCCTGTTCTCAGCCGTGTGCGCTGTGGGGCCTGGAGGAAGCCTGGCTGTGTGTCTGGCTGCCCCCTTTGCTCTTTGTCCACTTTTTCTCGCCCTCTGGGTGCCTGAGGAGAGGCCCCAGGCCGCCCCCAGGAGAGGAGGGGAACAGAAAGGGAGAGGGGGCTTCCGGGCCAGTTCCCCTCAGGCCAAGGGCTGCCCAGACTCCTCTGGCCCCCGGCTGGGGGTGGTTCCTCTGTGCTCTCTGTGCGTGTCTTGGGGAGCACATATTTGTCCATCAACCACTCACTGACCCCTCCTCTGTGTGCCCAGAGATAAGCTGGACATCAGTCCTGCCTCCTCAGACCCCACAGGTATTGGGGAAGACAGGCATGAACTGGGGCCATCAGATGTTGCAGGTGCCATGTCCAGAGGATGGTGAGGGCACCACAGAAAGAGGAGGAATCAAGGAGGGCTTCATGGGGGAGGTAATGTGCATGCCATGAACTCCTGGGTAGGCAAGGGTGGGTCTTCTTCCACACCTGGTGGTTAAGAGCACAGACAGAGTGGTGTGACCTTGGGCAAGTTACTTGACCTCTCTGGGCTCAGTGTCCTGTCTTGCTGGATTGGGGGTGGCAACTGCACCAGCCTCATAGGTTGTGGAGCTGCGGTTCAGTGACTCTTAGCTGTCCTGGTTTGCATTCGACACAGGGCATGGTCCAGGAAGGTGCCAGGAAGGACCCACTGGGTAGACGGCGGCTGGCTGATGAGCCGCAGATGCTGAGAGGGACTGGATTCTGTCCTGTGTCTTCCTAGGATGACCTGCAGTGCCCAGGGCAGTTCTGAACGCCCAGGAGAGCTCAGTGTCTGTCACTGTGGGGAGTTGGGGACTGAGAGTGCCAGCCAGGGCCCCGCCTGGCTCTGCCTCTCTGGGGTCTCAGGAGAGCCCCTCGCCCTCTCTGGCTGGCAGATTCTTCATCTGAAAGATAGGGGTTTAGGCCAGGGGATCCCAGGGGCCCTTTTGGCTCTGGCATCCCACGGTCCTGAGTCCCACTGGCCAATGTCACGAGTGTCCACTCTTAGAATGTAGCGACCCCTCAGAGTGGAAGCGCCCCCCGCACAGGGGAGGTCCCGGCCTGTGCACCAAGTGCCCCGATTACAGGCTGGGTGTCAGAATCTGCCCCGTGGTGTTCCGTTCCTGCTTCCGAGTCAGACCACTGCCATCTGCCTGCTCGTTCCTGGGCTGGACCGCAGCCCGAGCGGGCCCTCCTTTCTTCTCCGGAGCCTGCAAGCTCTGCGGAAGGCCCAGGGAAGCTCGGTTCCCTCTGCGTGGCTTGACTTTGAGCGATTGAGGCTGCTAGAGATGTGACCACAGGCCCAGTGGGCACAAGGTTAAATGAATAATAATCTTCCCTGGCATGTGACGGAGTCCTTCACAAACCAATTCCATGGACGTTATTCACCAACATTGATTGATGCCTAATACGTGCCAGGCCACCTTCTAATACTTTGCCCGCTTTCCGGATGAGAAAACCAAGGCCCAGCAGGTTGTAGAACTTGCTTAAGGTTGTACAACTTGTAAAAGCAGAGCCGGGGCCGGAACCAGGCCCACCCGAGCCCTGATCACCTCCGTCAGACCCTCTTATTAGTAATTTTGCGAGGCCCCTGCCACGCTGGGATGAAGCAGACGGGGGGCAGACGGGGCACAGAGAGGTTAAGCAGCTTGCCCAGGTCACAGACCCAGCTGAGCCTCTGGACTGAGAGTTGGGAGGGGGAGGGGTGAGAGGAAGTTCCCCTGGCTGGAACCGGGACCCTGCGTGCCTCTTCCCCCCAGGTGGCCGACCAGATGACGCTGCTGCAGAACTGCTGGAGCGAGCTGCTGGTGTTCGACCACATCTACCGCCAGATCCAACACGGCAAGGAGGGCAGCATCCTGCTGGTCACCGGGCAGGAGGTGACAAGACCCTCCTGTGCCCCGCGCCGCCCACACTGTGCACCTCCAGAGCGCCGGGCCTGGGAGAGGTCCCAGGCCTCTCCAGGGCTGGCCCTGGGCACCCTGAATATCAGCCCTTTCTCCAAGTTCACGGGATCCCCAGCGGCCCGACCTCCCTCTGCCCGGCCCTGGCCTCGAGAGGAGCCAGCCCCGGGGAGCCCTCCTCTGGGGGAAGCAGCTCAGAGATGTGGGGAGGGTCAGAGGAGGCTCTTGGAGGAAGTGATGGTGGTGCTGGGTCTTGAGAGAATAAATAGGGATTGGTCAGGTAATGGAAGGTGGTGGAGGGGCGGGGCCTGCTTCCACCACAGGCAGAGGGGATAGAAAGGCTCAGAGAGGGAAGTTTAGAACTGCCGAGCCCCCAGGGGCCACTGGTCTGCTGGTACATGGGTTTGGGGGGTCGAGGGCCCTGTAGGGGGTGGGATGAGTCGAGAGAGAAGGCTGGAGGGGTTGCTAGGGGCTGGGTTGGATGAGACCTTTTAGGCCTTAAACCCTGAATGAATGAATGAGCAAAGGGGTCTGGACTCCAAAGAGCTCAGAGTCAGAATTTGGGGCTCCCTTAGAGCAGGGAATTAGGGGCACCAGGATGGGAGCCCAGAACACAGAAACTGCTGAAATCCAGCAGGGAACAACGGGAGAGTTTAAGTGGGGAAGGAGGCAGCCAGGTTGTATTTGAGGAAGCTCTTGGAGGAGGCAAGACGGGAGGTAAGGAGGACCTGGAGGCAGCCACCCACTGCTCAGGATTCTGGGAGCGGACAATTCAAGGAGGAGGACCCCATGTGGTGAGAGGCGGAGTAGGGGATATGGAAGGAGGGAGGGAGAAGGGAGGTGATGTCCAGGGTCTAGCCTGGTGGAGGGAGCCTCACTCCGGAGTGGGGACCCAGGAGGAGCGGGCTTGACAGGTGCTGTGGGGTGACCGTGGAGACCAAGGCCCTGCTCCCCACCCGCTGCCTCCACCCCTGGCTCTCTGTCCCCATCCTCAGTTCTCGCCCTGGCTGCCTCAGGCCGTCCGTGGCCGGGGAACACTGTCACGAGGGGGTGACTGTAAGGCCACCTGTGAGTGCAGATGAGGAGCATCTGAGGGATGAGTGTGTTTGTGTTGGCCCTTACAACGTGTGGGTCAGCCTCTGAGGCCATGGGAATGTCCAGCATGTGTGTATGTGTGTGTGCGTTTGCCAGTGTTTTATTGTGTAGATACCTCCACACATAAACATGTGGGTGTCGAGATCTACCCACATCAGTGTGAACACACACACAGGCCTGTGTCTGTCTGTGTTCCCCCGTGACGTGACCATACAAGGGTGCGTGTGTGTCTTCACTCCATGAAGTGGGTGGACGACCCCGTGAGTGTGTCCATGCGTGTGTGTGAGCGTGAGCTGAGGTGTGACCGCATCCCCAGTCCGAGCATCCACGTGTGGGCCCGTGGGGCCGAGTCATGTGGCAGGATCCACGTGTCCCCGGGCAGACCTGCCCGCCTCTGCCCCCACACCCGGCACTGCGTGGTACTCTCTGCAGACAACACACAAGACACAAAAGCCGTTTGTACCACCGGGCCTGGCGGCGGCTCTTTGTGCATGAAGAACCCTTCAGCCTTCCCTCTGCACCCACTCGCCCGGTGTCGTGGGGCCCTCAGCCCGGCCGGGCAGTGAAGAGAGCTGGGAAGGCTGGGCCCTGCCATCGGGGCTGGGAGGGTTCCTGGGGCCCGAGGAGATGCTGCCCCCACCTGGCTCCGCTCCAAGGCTGGGCACACCTGACCCCCAGCCTCTGAGCAGCCCCTCCCCGGGGTCCCTGATCAGAGCCTCCTGCCCTACGCGCCGCTGCCCCTGACCCTGTCCTCCGCCCGCCAGGTGGAGCTGACCACGGTGGCGGCCCAGGCGGGCTCCCTGCTGCATGGCCTGGTGCTGCGGGCCCAGGAGCTGGTGCTGCAGCTGCATGCGCTGCAGCTCGACCGCCAGGAGTTTGTCTGCCTCAAGTTCCTCATCCTCTTCAGCCTTGGTGAGTGGCCTGAGCGGGGCCTGGGGGGGCAGGGGCACGGGGCGGATGGTTGGGCTGGCCTCGAGACCCCAGGATAGGGCTGTGTGCCACGGGGCCTCAGTGGGGCAAGGACCCCTCCCTTAGTGAATAGGAGTGTGGGGGGACCCGGCCCAGGGCCTGGCTCTTAAAATGAAGGTTGCTTCTTCTCTGGGCCTCGGGTTCTCTGTGTGGAAGTAGAGAGGGCCAAGCTAATGTCTAAGACTCCCCTTTATGGGACAAGGAGCCCTCCTGAGAATTTGGTAAATTCCTGGCTGAAAACCCAGAAAAGAGCTCATGCCACCTCCAGAAAATGCCTGTGCGACTTCGGGAGCTTCTGTCCCCTGGCTCCCGTCCGGGGGCCCTGAGTTTCCTAATCCCTGGCTCTAGGAGGGTCCACATTCTGACTCTGAGCTCTTTGGGGTCCAGACCCCTTGCCCATTCCTTCCTTCACTCACTCATTCATTCTACAAACTTGTGCTGAGCATCTGCACCGTGCAAGGCCCCAGGGATACAGCGTGCACAAAATAGACCCCAAATCCCTGTCTCCTGGAGCTGACTTTCTCTCGGGGAGAGGCAATAAGCATAATATGATTAGTAAAATATATAAATTAGTGAAATTAGTAAAGTATATAGCCTGGGAGACTGCGATAAGTACTAAGGAGGAAAATAAAGCAGGGAAGAGGCAGAGGAGAGCCCAGCCACCAGCTCGCCCCCTCCCCAAGTGTCTGGCATCACCCTCCTGACCCCGGCCTGGCCTGTGCTGCCCCAGTCTCCATCCTCCCTCTGGGTTCTCATCAGGCCCCCCTCCTTCTGTCCTCCTTTACCCAGCAAACCATCTCCAGTGCCCTCTCTGTGCCCAGCGATGCTGCGAACATAGAGGTTTTCCTTGTTCTCAGGTGGCTCCCAGTCCAGGAGAGGCCTTTAGCCAGTGTAACCAGGGCTGGGACAGAGAGATGGGGAGCCCAGGGTGAGGAGCAAGGGCTCTGCCTGGAAGACTTCCTGGAAGACGGACATCTGAGCAGGGTTTTGGAGGATGAGTAGGAGTTTGTTGGGTGGATAAATCTTTTAGCAGAGGTGTAGATGGGATGGAAGGTTGGAACAGAGTGGCATGAATGCCTCATCACCTGGGGAGGGAGCAGAACTGAGACATTGTCTTTGTAGCAGATGGCATTATAGCCACAGTCTGGCAAGGGTGTGTCTGCCCAAGAGTGGAGGGAGTTGGGGAAGCAGAGAAGTGAGCCAGGAGGGGGTGATTAGTGAAATGTTGATTGTGGGGAGCCCAGTGCTCAGGCCATGGCCATGTGACTGGGTGCCGCGGGCTGGGCACCTGACTCTGCCACAATAGGCTGATGGCTGGAGGGTATAACTGCAAAGCTGCTGGCCTCCTCTCCAGACACCGGGAGGGCTCTGCAGGGGGGGTAGGGACAGTCACGGTGAGGGGTGGGGGCAGAATCTTGGGCAGCCACTTAGGAGCTGTGGCCCGAAGCCCTCGGAGGAGTCATGGGGGCGCAGGCCAGGCTGGCTCCAGCAGGGGGAGGCCCCCTCCTTCCTCTGCCTCTGGGGGTACCCTCCTCCCCACCTTGTCTCTGAGAGCTGCCGGGCTCTGGGAAGGCCATGTGTGTGGCTGGGGGTGGCGGCTCCAGGAGTTCCACGTGTGTACGTGTGCCTTTGTGTTGGTGTCTTGTTTTCACACATGAACTTTTACAGGCTTGTGGTTTTTTTATGTGTCACGTATGAGGAATCTGTGTGTCACTGGGGAGCCACTGGGGACATCTGGAGACGTGAGGAGTTTGGAGGGATGGGTGGTGCTTGGAGGCACATGGAGGGCGGGATCTGTGGCGGTCTGGGTGGTTGGTGAGGTGACAGTTCTTCAACTGACGGCCATCAGGAGGCCGCCAGGGAGGTCCTAGGGAGAGCTGGGTGGAGGGTGGGCTGCCAGCCACCAGTCTCCTTGGCCAGGGCTCTGTCTATCCTTGGGCGCCCCTGCAGAACAGGGACCACGTCTTGGCTTTCCAGACCACCCAGGGCCAGAGCCCCAGCCCTTCTTCCCACTGAAGCCCCAGGCGCTGGGGGCTACCAGGCCCAGCGCGGCTCTGGCCTCCGCTAGGAGATAAAGCCGGGACTTCTCCTTCCGTGGGGCATGAGGAGGACAGCTAAGCTGAGCCTGGCCCTCTTCTCCCGGGTCCAGGTGAGGGCCGTGCTCAGAACCATGAGTGCCGGGCCCCCTTCCTGCTAGCCTTCCTCCTGTTTTCCAGAGGCGGCAGCTGGGGCCTGAGAGACTGGGACTGTCTACAGGGCTTGGCTGGAACAGGCTGGAGGGGTGGATAGAGGAGTGCGAGTGCGTGCATGTGGGTGCGCATGCGCGTGCGTGCGTGTGCACGTGCGAGGCGGGGGTGGGGTACAGTGATTAGGAATGGGACTAGAGACAGACCACTGGATTCTAAATCTGGACTTGCTCTCTGGCTGTGTCCTTGAGCAAGTCACTCCCCTCTCTGAGCCTCTATTTCCCCGTCTGTAAAATGACCATCGTCATAATCCTTAACTTGCTATGAGGATTTAATGAGAGAATTCCCCAAGGTGTTCAGCGCATGGCCTGGCCCCTTGGAATGCGTCATCACTGTTTTCATCATAACCATCATTATGAAGTTAATGAGCGAATGAACAAGTGAATGAATGGAGTGCATGAACCAAAGAGTCAGTCTCTGTCTTTCTTGCACGCTGTGTGTCTGGCTCAGTGCCTTGCTTTTGGGGACAGGGACATAGGTCTGGCTGAGATGGGGAGCACCCAGCCCAGCAGGCCAGAAACTCTAGCCAGGCTGAGACTGGGAGGGGAGGAGGAGAAGGCCCCAGGACCTGGGCCTGCCTGAGCTCATGGGAGCAGCGAGAGAGGAGGCCAGGTGAGCCACGGAGACTGTTGGCTGACAGGTTCCAGGTTAGGAGAGGAGCCTGAGCCGTCTAGTGTGATTAGGGTTGGGCCAAAGCGGAGAAACCAGTTACACTCAGGATGTCACGGAAGGCCTCTTGGAAGAGGGGCCTCTGAGGTGGGCCTTACAGTATGAGTAGGAGTGTTCTGGGTGAAACAAAGCAGGCAGCAGCATGGGTATTCCAGCCTGAAGGAAGAGCTTGTGCAAAAGTATGGAGAATCCTGAAAGTTTGGTGTGGCTGTGGGGCAGGGAGAGGGTGGAGAGGAGGCTGGTGAGGTGGGCAGGGGCTGAGCTGTGCACAGCCTTGAATGCCAGGCCAAGTACCTTCAGCCTTCCCTTGGGAAGGATTTTCAGCAGGGAGTAACAGGATCAAATTGGCATTTTAGCTTTCTTCTAACTTCCTTCCAACTGCAGCATGGGACAAGGGCAGGTGGCAGCCCAGAGCCCTGCAGGAGGCTAGCCCTGGGGCTGGGGTGAAGGGGACAAATTTGGGCAAGACAAAGGGGAAGATGTGCCCAGACTCTAAAAGGTGGGAGGAGGCTCCGCTCATGATCCCACCTAGACCACCAGAGCTGGGCCCCCAGGGAACCCGGTCCCCGGGAGGGACGCCACTTGCCAGTGGGTCTCCAGCTGGCACGCTGGGCGGCACCCTCGGGACAGCGCCTCCCCAGGCCGGGCAGCCTGAACTCGTGTGATGACCATCCCCCGCCACACCCCACCCCACCCCACGGCCCTCCAGCCCCCTCAGCGCCTCCTTCTCCCCTGCCTCCACAGAAGGGTGCCATTTGGCGTCTAAATAGCCGGCTCGGGCAGGCGTGGAGGCAGGTAAGGAGGCTTAATTAAAATTAGTGCCTCTCTCCTGGCAGTCGCGGTGTTTATGAAGATGGGCCCTGCGGGCATTGTTCCGCAGAGGACTTAATCGAAGCTTAATGGATTGACCTAACATTCGATTTCCCGGCTTCCATTGAGGCGGCGGCTCCAGCGTTCCCTTAAGCGTTTGCAATTTACCCACAGCTCCGCGCCAACAAAAGGCGGCCTGAATAGCAGCCCCACTCGAGGGGCCATTGTGCGCGGGGGCGCCTGCCTGAGTCACCGCTATTGGGACAACATTCTTTATGCCTCGCTGGAATGAAAGGATTATTCAAATATTCAATTAAACCGTGAAAAGGGGGCTTTTCTGAGAACCTGGGGGCCCCCGGCTCCGCAGAGCTAGCGGGCTGCTCTCGAGGTGGGGGGGCCCTCCCAGCCGCCTCCCACCACCCACCCCCAGGATTGCCGGGAGCCAAGCGGGCTGGGGGCACCGCGCAGGCTTTTCTCCAGCGCGCCCGGCTCCACCCTGCGGCGGCTCACGGATCAGGGATCAGGTGCAGTTCTTGGGCTCCCCGTGCAGAAGAGAGGAATGTGCCCCCATTTTGCAGATGAAGGGAACTGCGGCTCAGAGAGGGGAAGGGACGTGCCCAAGGTCGCCCAGCTGGTGGCAGAGCTGGAATTTGAACACTGGACACATTTAGGGGGGTCTCCAGATTTGTGTGACCCCTGGTCCCGTGTCTAATCGAGGAAGGGCATGGTGTTCTGGGGGACGTTGCTCCTGTCACATCCGTGATCCTACAGAATCCTCACAATAGTCTCTTTAGAAGGGGGCACGGGGAGAAGGGGCGTGACTTGACGGTGGTCTCCTCCAAGGCCGGGGGGAAGTTGAGTCTGGAGGCACTGAGTAGCCTCTCTGGGGAAACCTAGACCCCCAGGGGTGGGGGCCTCGGCTGGGACTCCTGGATTGGATGACACGTAAAGTTATTATGCCCAAGCCTGACCACTCCCCTGCTTGCCCTCAGGGCTTCGGAGCCAGAGAGAGCTGGGTTTGAATCCAGACTCGGGCATCTCTTGTGTGTCCCAGGCACGTCCCACTGTCCCTGTGCCTTCCCTGCCTGCCTGGGCGTCCGTGGGATTAACTGAGCTGGGTCAAGGTGCCTGGCGGATGCCCGGGAAACTGGGGGCACTTATGCTGCAGTCGCTGGGGCTCAGTTAGTGACCGTGCTTCCCTCCCCGAGCCCTGTAGACCACTCATGCGGACATGGGGGTCTCCAGCCTGCAGAGAGCTGCGGGACCCACAGAACTGCTAGGATCGGGGCTGTCCCTGAAAGCTGTCCTTGCTGTCCCCATCCCCCGCTCTCTGCCCCTTGTCCCTGCACGGTGCTGCTGAGAACAGTAAATCCTGGTAAAGCCGAGGCCCTGGTCCTCCCCCCCACCTCCTGCCTCTACTGCAGCCTCCTAGACAGTCCTCCCCCCACCCGCAACCATTTCCTCTGGGCCCCTTTACTGCTGTGTGGCCTTGAGCTGGTCCATACCCTTCTCTGGACCCCCAGCCTCCTATTGTGAATTGTCAGAAGACAATGTCAGGAAAATTGCCCAGCCCTGAGGTTGGTGGGGGGTGAAGGTAGATGGGACAGGATTGGGATGGAAAGAGGTTGGGAAAGGGATGGGGCCGGTAGGCACCTCTTGCCCCCAGGAGGCCAGTGAGGTGGGGAGACTTCCCATGACCTTTGAATGTGTCTGGAGTGGGCCAAGCTAGGGAACAGGGCTGCTCTGTACAGTTGGGCAGGGTGTTTACTGCACAAGGGCACCTAGGCAGGGGATAAATAGAGGCTGAAATCTAGCCTACCTGCCCCTCGCCAAGCTCTCTCTCCGTGGACAAGGGGGAACTTCTTTCTAATTGGCACAAAGGTGCCTTATGGGCTAATGGTGATTTGGGGGAGGCCAAGAAGAAAATGACCCTGGCTCATTTACTGAAGGGAGGTGAGGGGGCCAGGGATGCGGTGGAGGATCGGGCCCAGATCCTGCCATACGCCCCCGGCCCAGCTCGGGTTTCCCTAAATCCAACTTTGGACAACACGGGCCTCGGCGGGCGCGCTGGGGGCGGCTGGGGATCAGGGTTGCCAGGAGCACGAAGCCCTCATGGCGCAGCAGGTGTTAAGAGGGATTAGAAGGGCCATGAGCTGCACATGGTGGCTCCGGACGCCCCCGCAGCAAGGCTGGGGGTGACGGGGGCGGAGGGGAAGTGGACGGACGACCATTTTCTGAGCCTCTGGCGCCACATCCCAGGCAAGGCTGGGCTAGGACCTGGGGGCAGGGGACTGATTCTGTGGATTCCTCGGCGTCTAGGCAGGGCACCAGCTGGGGATGCTGCCCAGGAGCCCACAGAGGCCTGCAGGCAGGGATGAGGACTCGCGTGACAGGAAACTGACCCTCTCTGGGCGCCCCTGGGGGCCAGGCACCTGCGCAGGCCCCTGCCACCATGCTCTCACCCCGGCAAGGTGGACATGGCCCTTCTCATAGAGGAAGAAGGCCTTTCATGTTGAACTCGCATCTTCTTCTTTGTCCCTGTTCTTACATATTGTGCACGATTTCTGTACGTGCATTTTTAATTTACGTAGATGGCTTTGCCTGATAGATCTCCTTCTGGATCTTTTCTGTTTTTTCCACTCTGCCCCATGCTTTTAAAGATCTGTCCATTTGCTCTGTGTAATGTCTGCTCCGTTCCTTCTGTCCACTGCACAGGACTCCCCGGGGTGCAGCCACCATGTCTCCCTGGGGTACATCCAGGCCCCTCCCCATCACCACACACACTGCTGCAGTGAATGCCCGTGTCCCCTGTGGCCCCACGAGAGAATCTCCTTGGGTACTGGAGCCTCCTGATTGGTCAGAGGGTCGACCACAGGAGAGCCTGCCGCCCTCTAGAGTGGGGCCACCAGTGCACGTGCCTCGAAGTCGTGAGAGGGGACCCTTCCACTCACAGTGCGCCCTCTGGTGGTGGTGCTGATGATGGGACAGTGATGGTCGTGGTGGGGGGTGATGCTGATAGTGACCCCCACGGGGATGATGGCGACAGGATGGTTTTGACCATGGGGATGGGGATGGTGTTGACAATGGCCATGGTGAGAGTTAGGTGTAATAATGGTAACAACTAACATACTGAGCCTTGTTACATGCCAGACACTGTTCTAGCACTTTCCACCTATCGACTCCCTGTGAAGTAGGTGCTATCATCACCCTCGTTTTACAGATGAGGAAATTGAGAGGTTACATAACATGCCCAGGGATATACCTGGTGAGGTTGGTGATGGTCTTGGTGATGATGGAGGTGTCACTGTGACCGTGATGATGACAATGGAGGCAATGATGGTGACAGGGGATTGTGGTTGGCTGGTTGATGGTGGCGGTGGCTGTGTTTGTGATGACCACAGGGATGTTGGTGCTGGTGACTGCTAAGGATGGCTGTGTGCAACTATGGTTATGGTGATGATGGTGGTGACAGGAATGATGGAGGTTTGGTTGATGATGGCAGCAAGGGCCATGTTTGGGAAAAACACAGGATGTCAGTATTGGTGACTGATAAGGGTGGCAGTGTTCATCAGCTGTGGTGATGACCAGGGTGATGGTGATGTGGTGACGGGAGATGGTGGTTGTGTCATTGATGGTGGCCGTGCGCACGTCTTGGCCAATCACAGGGGCGCTGGTGTTGGTGGTGCCAGGGACTGTTGATGTGATGGCTGGTGATGGTGACACAGCTCCTCCCTTTGCAGATGTGAAGTTCTTGAATAACCACAGCCTGGTGAAGGATGCTCAGGAGAAGGCCAACACCGCCCTGCTCGATTACACCCTGTGCCACTACCCGCACTGCGGGGACAAGTTCCAGCAGCTGCTGCTGTGCCTGGTGGAGGTGCGGGCACTGAGCATGCAGGCCAAGGAATACCTGTACCACAAGCACCTGGGCAACGAGATGCCCCGCAACAACCTGCTCATCGAGATGCTGCAAGCCAAGCAGACTTGAGCCTGGGCCGGGTGGGGCCGGGACTGGGGCGGGGGAGGGCTCGCAGCCACCCCCGCGGCCCTCCAGATGGTTGCTTCTATCATGCCCACCCAGGAGCCCCACCCCGTAGGCCCCTGCCCCTGAGCTCTCTGAAGCCTTGTGTTGGGAAGGTGGGTGAAGGTGGGCAGGACCTGGCTGAGGTGGGGTGGCCCCCATCTGCCACTGGCACTTGCCTGCCACTCAGAGTGCCCCAAGGAGGCAGCTGCTAATCACCCCCTCCCCCTCCCCCTGCTCCCAGCTGTCTGTCCTGGAGTCTGGAGCACAGGTCCAGGGAGGAGGTAAAGGATTCCCTGGTGGGCCTCGATGTCCCTTGGGTCAGAGGTCATCCCTTCCCCCTCTTCTGGAAACAGAGGCAGGGAGAGGTTGAGTAGGCATCAGCTGGGGGAGAAGAGAGGGTCTCCAGCACCCCCTCATAGCGACCAGGAGGAAAGCCCTCTGTTTCGTAAACTATGGATAAACTGAGTTTGCAAAAGTGGGCAGGGGCTGTTGGCCCTAGAGGACACGGGGAGACTGGTTAGGATGAAAAGTCCTCCTCCCTGGCCCTTCTACCTGCTCTGACTTCTGCAGGGGAGAACTCCGACGCGTTATCGGAAAAGAATTGTGCTACAATCATCCTTCTATCCCTCTCCCACCAGACGAGACCTTTGGCATAATCAACATTCTAGCCCTACCCCCAGGTGGCCAGCCCAGGCTGGTGTTTATCTGTAAGGCTGTAGTCAAAAGGGTTGTTGTTGTCGTTGTTGTTGTTTTTTAATTTGTTGGGTTTTTAATTTAGTTACTCCTTGAAAGGTGTGTATGTGGGGGGCAGGGGACAGATGTGAGGGTTGAGGCTGGGACTGGATTAGCACCAAGTACCGCCGATGGTTTCTCCCCAGACACCCTCATACCAGGTTCCTCCTGGGTGGTACTGGGTCATTATTTCTGAGCCCCCCACTCCAATCCAGAGAAGAGCTGTTGCTTGCCCCCCACCCCCCTAGACGAACAGCAGGATGCCCTGTGGGGGGCTCATAGTCTCTGTGGGTGGGAATATGGGTGACCTAGGGAGGGTATGTGGGTCTCCAGATCAGGGACATTCCCCCATTGGCCCTGTCCCATTGGGTCCGTTGCTGCAAACCCTTGAAGCTGGGCCTCAACTCCCTGGCCTCTTGTCCTACACCCTGAAAGACACTGTCCAGGGCCAGGACCTAGGGAGAGGCCTTGGCTGTCCTCTGTCCCCAGGCTAGGCATCCACCGTCTGTCCTGCCTTCACGTGGCCGCTTGCGCTGAGCCTGCCCAGCTGGAGGTGACTGGGCATCCCTGCCCCCCTGCCTTCCACTGCCCTGTCTCAGTCCCCACCCCTGCCCTCTGAAACCTATGCCCCCTCCAAGGCCAGAGACCCCCCAGCCCCGAAGTGAGAAGTGCCCTTAAGAAACTCCCCAGCCCCTGCAGCCCTGGAATAAATTTTGCAATTAGTTTCCAGCTACCTTTGCCTATTTACATTCTGGGGCCAAAGTGGAACCTCCTCGATGGGTTTGGGTGGTCTGGGGGTGGCGATGCTCCAACTGGGATGGAGGTGACACTCAGATAACCTTCGGTTCAAAACTCTGGCAGGATGGGGTGTGGGGCGCAGACATGGGGGATGCCAGGCGCTGTTGCCTAGGGCCCCTTTGGGCCCCACCTCATCTCTGGGACCCTGCCACACCCAGGAGGCCTGGGAGATGCTTGGGCCTTCCGGGTTCTCAGCCTCGGTTCCACCCTGCCATGCCAGCTCTGCCCCCATCTTGGCAGAAGGGAGCAGTCATTTAATGAACACCCACTGTGTGCCAGCCCTCATCTCAGTGTCCCTACTGTGGCTCTGTGAGGCAGGGGTTATAATCGAGAAGAAGGGAGCACTTAAGTGCCTTCAGTGATCTGGGCAGTCAGGGTCCACCTGACTTCAGAGCACCGGCCTTTCCTCTCTGTCCATCCAGTGGCCACCCACGGGCCCCGGGCTGGCCCCTTTCACGGATTCCCTTGCCCCCCTACCCACCCTCTCCCCCCCAGCATGGCTGACCCGTGAGGACTTCCTCTGCACCAGGCGCCAGCCCAGTCCATCCTGTGGTCCCATCTGCACTTTGAAGCCACTGTGGCAGGTGGGAGCCCCAGATTATAGATGAGAAAATGGAGTACAGAGGGGTGAAGTGGCCTGTCCAAGGTCACACAGCTCAGAGGGGCGGAGCCATCACACAAACCTCCATCGCCCTGACCCACCCTGACCAACCCGACTGGCTTACCCCCAGGTCCACTCCTGGTCCACCCCGTGCCTCTGTGCAAATTAGCAAAAGGTGCCCCTTCTAGGGCGAGGTGGCCCTACGCACACAGCTTGGCAGTGGCTTTTATGCAAAGAAAAAATCATCCCGTTCCCTCTTGGCACTTTCAGAAGTGACGCAGACACCCTGGTTCCTGCCTCTGGGGAACGTCCAGTCTTGGAGGAGCTATCTTAATCAGATTCTAATCCGATGCGCCAGGTCATGTAACTGAGCCAGATAAGATGAGGAAGTGATTGATTCTGCTCCTGCGGGGGACAGGAAGTCTTCACAGCAGGGTGTCATCCAAACTGGATTTTGAAGGATGCCCAGGAGTTCGCTAGCTAGACAAGAGTTGGGGGCAGTCCAGGCAGAGGAACGGAGTGAGCAAAGGGATGAGTGTCAGCCAGGGGTGTTTGGGGATCTAAGAGACGTTATTTTGGCTGGAGCATAAAGAGAGTGTGTGTGGGTTGGAAGGGTATGAGCAGGGGGAGGGGAGACTGGAAAGGACTCCTTGGTCCCCACCCCTGCCCCCCTCCCCTACGAGCCCATATGATTAGGTTGCGGGCAGGCAGGAGCCCTCTGGAGATGAGGGGGAGGAGTCAGAGGACACTGCAAATGCAGGCAGTAGGGGCCACCAAGTGCCCGCCCAGTTCAGCGCCACCTTGCTGCCCCTCCAGGCTCCGGCCCTCCTTTCCCGCCCCACAGCACAGGCAGCGGGCTCCGCCTAACCTGCAGGCTGAGCCCTTGTTCTGTGGAGGCTCAGGGGTGGCGCCCAGCCTGCCGCTCCTCCCGGGGTGCTGCTGCGTCTTCCCCCAGCAGGGACTCTGCTGCCTCCGTGGCTTCCCTCTCTGCCTGGGGCCCTCAAGGCCTTCAACATCACTCCTCCGGGCTGCAGGGTCTTCGCTCCCGTAGTCCCCTGTGCATCCCTCTCTGGCAACAGCTGCTGTTTCCCCAGGGCTTGCTGTGTGCCGGGCGTTGGGACTAACATACGGGTCTGTGTTACCCCTCCCACCACCAGCGGAGAGGGCCTGATGGCCCCTGGTCTGCAGACCACGGACTGGGCTTCCAGAGGGCCAACAGGCCCCAGCCCCAGAATGAAATACCCAGACCCCCGGCCTTGTGTGGTGGGTCAACCACCCCCGGGTAGATTTCTGTCCCAGACTCAACGCAGGTGGGGCCCAGGGCAGACGGGGACTTCTGAGGTCGCAGAGGGAACTGGGTGCGGCCCATCCCCTGCTGGGTCTCAGGGCTGCTTCTCACTCAGCCCTGTCCCCCCGCCACCCACCCGTGTCTGGGCGGCTGCCTGCCGCCCACACGGAGGCTGCCCTGACACTCCACATCTGAGCCACGTGGTCCTCTGTGCCCAGCAGCATTTGAGCGGGGCTGAGGTCAGCAGGACGGTGTTAGCAGCCTCTGTGCCCCGAGTCCCATCCCCTGGGCCCCTCCTTCACCAGGCCCCTGCCTTGGGGCCCACCCTGGTGCCACACCCTACACATCATCGCTGTTCTCACCTTGGCCCTGAAACCCGTTCTACCCAAGAAGAGACAGAGACTCAGAGATAAATCTGGCCCGTGGCTGCAGAATGGGTGGCGGCAGGGCTGGCCCCACAGCCAGACTATAAGTGGGGCCCCCCTGCAGCAGGCCTCTCATCAGACCTGGAGCCAGTCCCCCCTGCCCTGCTGCCTCCTCTGAGCAGTCTGCCTGGGTGGCACCCACTCGCACCAACTGCCACCCCGACCCCTGTGTCACCCAGCTGGGGAGACCCACCTCTGAGCCTCAGTTTCCTCCTCTGTACAATGGGGTGATGGTGGCCTCAGGGAAAGGGCCCAGCACTGGCCAGGTACACAGTAGGCACTAATTAGTGTCGGCTGCACCTACCCTGGTGATGAAGCTGGGGCCATCTTGAGTCCCAAAGCCACAGTGGCAGCTTCCCTTGTCCCTCCCTCCTCCCAGGGAGCCTGGCATCCCGTCCCCTTCCCCAGGCCAGGGGAACCGCCTGAGAGGGACAGGTCACAAGAGTACGTTTATTACCAGAGACACCACAGGGCTGTCAGAACTTCAGGACAGGTGGGAGGGCAGAGAAGAGGACAGTCACAGATGGAAAACCAAGGTGACAGAGCTGTGGGACCTGGAGGGGTTGGCAGGGGCACCAGGGGCCCCCAGTGGAAGGAGGGAGAGGCTGAGGCTGCTGGGAGTAGGTGGTGGTCCAGCTGCCGTCTGTCCCTCAAGGACGCCCAGGTGGGCCTTTCTGAGGTCCCCAGGTGGAACTTGGAGGAAAGTCCCCATGCACTCTCTCTAGAAACCTGGGAGAAGAGCGCACCCTTTGGGCTGGGCTGGCAGGGAATCATGGTGTCCCATGTCACCCCCGTCTATGTCCGCCCATCTCCTGTCCCGTCCCCAACCCCCCCACTCCCCTCCCCCTGGCGGGGGGGGGGGGGGGGGGCGCAATGGGAAGGAGGCTGGGAACTGAGGCTGGGGAAGACCTTAGGGGGAATCCTGGCCTGCCCTGACCCCTGGGCAGTCTCCTTCATTCCCTCTCTGTGCCTCAGTTTCCCCATGGGAGGAACACTCGCATGCCCCAAGGGCTCCGAGGGCTTTCCGGAGGGGCGGTGGCAGGCACGTGGGGCACACGAAGCTGGCAGCCTTCACTCCTCTTGCTCAGGCCACCTGAGTGGCTGGCGGGCAGGGCGGGGGGCTAGGGCGTCCGGAGAAGGGGCAGGCTGGGGGTCCGGAGGGTGGGGCCAGGCCGCGGCCCTGATGGAAGCGGCTCGGTTGCTACGAGCAGCCTTAGCAACGCACCCATTCAGCGGAGACAAAGGCGCTGTCACTTGAGCGCAGAGGCGCCGCTGC